CCCTACTCCAAACCTAGAATTGAGTCATAATTTAGGCATGGGGTGAATATACACCTGATGACTTGTACCACTTATAGATACTAGTGGTAATAAAATACAATAATGTAACAGTAATGGTAGCAGCTACAGTAATAGTAATATCACTTGAGTGTATACTGTGTATCTGCACTTTACTAAATTCTTTTCCTACATTAACTTCCCTTGTTTCTTTTTTTTTCTTCCTCCTCCCTTTCTCTTCTTCCTCCTTCTCCTCCTGCTGCTGCTTCTCCTCCTTTAGCCCAGGGCCTCCCACATGCTGGACAAGTATACTACCACTGAGCTAAAACCCCAATTCCTCTTCTATTTTTAATTGTCCTTCCCCCAAAACAAAATCTGGAATTAAGACATGATTTACGGTGATGAATCTAGAACTGACATATTGATGTTGTTGGTGGTTATACTAATAATAGTAATAAGTAGTAGCAGTAGTAGTACCAACTATAGTGATAACATTTATATATAGTATGATGTGTATGCATGTGTATATACATATATATGCATACACTATATATATAATGTGTTTGCTCTGTGCTAAATAATCTTCTTGAATTATTTTACTCAGTCCTTTTACAGGTGGAAAAATTGAGCCTCTTAAAACTGTTGACATGGGCAGGACTGGGGGCTTGACCTTCCCAAATCTGTGTGCCTCTGAGCCCTGTGTTCTTCACCTTTACATTATGGCAGACATGAAATTCTCATCTGCCTTCCTGGCTCACATGAAATTCTGAGAATGAATCTCTTTCTTTAAACTTATGACCGAAAAATAGAAGCAACTGACTGCTGGACATCTCCACTCTAACAGAGCAACACCTCACATACACAATATCTAAAATGAAGTTTGCAAACTCATTACCTATTCCTTTCCTGCAGCTACTGCTCTACCCTGTCCCTTGGCTTGGAAACATTGCTTACTTATTTGTGCTAACCTAGAATCTACCATCCCTGAGTGTTCCTTCTTTTCCTGTGTATACTTCTGCATTTACATTTCACTCTTCTCAATCCCTATTTCTGCTGCTGTCCTAGTTGGAGTCTTGTGCAGCTCACCAGGATCTCTACAGACACACTTTGACTGCTCTCCTGGCCCCAGCCTCACCTCCCTAAACAGTAGCTAGCAGTGTGTACCCTCGCCCACTTGTACACCCTGTATATCTGTACTTTGTCTCCCACGTGAATTCACTTCTGTTTAATTTGAAGTCCTACTTTAGAAGTTACCTGTTTGGGGAGCTCTTCTGACTCCCACATGTCCTAATCAGAAGATGACTTTTCTCCTCTTCAAAGCCCTTGGCAGCCCTATGCAATTATAAGGCTTATTTGTATTCACTGCCACTTAATGGGTGATTAAAAATTGTGAATTGTATCAGTATGATTTTGAACCCAAAAAGTATTGAATTAGTATTCAAAAAACCTGGTGCTTAGTTCTGTTTTTCAGTATTGTCTAACCTCCTGGATCTCACCTTGTAAATATGAGAGTATTCATATTAGGGCTATGGGTTTGAGTTGGTGGTGTCATTTAATTTTCACCTTGGAACTCCATTGCTAACCAATTTTTTTCCTGCTCCCTGTCCCTCTTTCCCAGCTTCTGGAGTGCAGTAAGCACATTCTGAAAATGCTGGGCCACAGGATTTCTAACATGCCTACTAATTCCCATGAACTGCTGTGTCTTAATTATTCCTTTTAATTTCTTTAAAAAAAATTTGTAGTTGTAGACGAACAGAATGCCTTTATTTTATTTGCTTATTTTTATGTGGTGCTAAGGATTGTATCCAGTGCCTCACACATGCTAGGCAAGTGCTCTGCCATTGAGCTATAGCCCCAGCCCTTAATTTTTTTTCTTAAAGATACTCTTCTAGTCTATATTGTTGTGTATCAGAAGCTTTAAGTGACCTTTAAGTTTGGTGAATTTCAAACTTGAAAAGTGAGTTAAAAAGTAAGGAGTATCTGTAATTCTGCAATGTTTGGCCATTGCCATCAAATGATTTTTTTAAAAAAATTATTTTTTAGATTTAGGTGGACACAACATTTTTATTTTATTTTTATGTGGTGCTGAGAATCGAACCCAGTGCCTCACACATGTTAGGCAAGCACGCTACCACTTGAGCCACATCCCCAGCCCCCATCAAATGATTTTTAAACAAATGCCCATGCTAGGCATTTTATAAAACAAATATACAGCTGTTGTCATCTTTAATCTGCATGCTTTTTGAAATCTTAATGAAACCCAGCTAGTATTCTTGCTACTGGGCAATGTGTTCTCATGTGAAGATAGTTACTCCCCATCATAGAATCTTGTGGAAACATCATTAGCTTTCTTTCTACCTTTTTCCAGCTGCAGACAAAAGGACATCCAGGAGGCTTCATTATAATCCTTAATGTAAACCAAGATAATGTAAGAAAAAAGTACTCTAGGAGTTTGTGCAATACAATAGTCTTTAGCCACATGTGGCTAGTTCTGGGCTGGGGAGTGTAACGTGGTGGGAGAATGCTTGCTGACCCTGGATTTGATCCCCAGCACTGCAAAAAAAAAAAAAAAGCCAATATGCTAGTTCGCATTTAAGCATTTTATATATATAATATATATATACATACATGTATATGTATATATATAAAATATATGTGTATATATATGCTAGATTTCAAAAACAGCATTAAAAAAGTGAATGATCTCATTAATAATTTTTTAACATTCATCACATGTTGAAATAATCATGTATAGGCATATTGACTTAAATAAAATGTATTATTAAAATTAATTTCACTGGTTTCTTTTTACTGGTTTTATGAGAAAACATAAAATTACACATTTGGATGCCTATAATCCTAGCTACTTGGGAGTCTGAGGCAGGAGGATTGTAAATTCAAGGCTAACCTGGTCATCTTAGTTAAGACCCTGTCTCAAAATAAAAATAAAAAAGGATTGGAGACATAACTCAGTGGTATAGCACTTGTGTGAGGTCCTGAGTTCTATCCCCAGTACCTAATTACATATTTGACTTGGCGCTCATGGCTTGCATTATATTTTATTGGAGAGTGTTATATTGAGAAGTTTCAGATTCTGAAAATATTAAACCTATAAAGTATCCCACAAACTTGGTAGTGGTACCTGCCTAAGGTTCAGAGCTCTATAAAGTAGGGTTACAAATACTGTGTTATTGGATGGCTTCATGTTTTACTTAATACAACAAATAGAGCTTGCTAAAATTCTTCTGTTTTCTGTGTCTATTTCAAACGCCTGTGAATTCATGTTTAGTACGAGGTCCTGAAGTTCATTTAGTTAAAACTAGGAGATGATGGAAGAGGGATCCCAGTTCATTCAGAGTCCCCTCTGTCTGCTATGAGGTCTTTATTAATTCAACCAGCAAAAAGGGATACCTCATGTCCCTTAACCCAAACTCCTTTGGGGAATTGAGAGTTAAAAGGGAGCAGCAGTGATATGAATAAAAATAATATAATTGTTGTTGATAATTCTTTTATTTGATTTGATAATTTTTCTTCTAATAAGTGCTTGTGACAGACCATTTTTTAGAACTTTAACAAATATTTGTGGTGCACCAGTTCTATGCAAGATACCTTTCTAGGTCTTAGGCATGCTTCAGTGAATAAAACAGAACAAATGGAGCTGACATCCTAGATCTCATACCTTAATGCAAAGTTATAATTGCAGGGATGTTACTTGGGGTTCTGCCAGATGTCTTTTATTTAGAATGTGTTGGATTAACCTTTGACTTGCAAGATATTTTATCTCCTCTGAGAACTTTAGAATTTGCCCTCTGGGTTTCATTATGTTTATCCGTTTTTCCCAGAAAAGAGGGTGTGCATATGAGGAGGGAGGGAGGCAACAGGTCACAGTGTGTTTTCTCTTACTTCATCTTTTCCTAGCCTTTGTTGAACAGGTAATTTTCTCCCACAGGAAACCTAGACATGGTAACTCTTTAACTAATTGAAAGTGATTTCACTGCTATAACTACAGTGATTTGGGGAGTTAATTTTAATTAAAATATGCATTCTTACTCTGAAAAAGTAAGTGCTTTGGTACTCAAGTATAGGGACTACCAGGTGAAAATATATAAGAAAAAATCTGCCAATTTAAAAAAAAAAAAGTTAATGATTCAGTAGCACTAAAATTACGGAGGATTATGTAGCAAGCAGTTCTTTGTTAGCATTTATCCCTTGATTCTCATGTTTTATCTCAAGGGTCAGGAGTTTATGATAAGGATATCACAGAGAATGCTTGGTTGGTTGGGGCCAGTATATACTTTGCTGATTGTGCTGTTTCCCTCTCATGATAGCTAGAGGCATTGCAGCACTTCCCTTCAAAGGAATCCACACAGTATGCATCCTTGCCTGTGTGTCATGTGACCCTTCCTGACTAATCTCCAACATGAGTGAGGAATGAATCCTTAAGCCATAGCTATTAGTATTGTAACAGCTCACTTTTATTATTAAGTTTTCCTATTCTTGAAAGGAAGTTCATACTATTAGTTGGTTGATGTATTAAATTTCTTAAAACCAGAGTCATTTTGGTTTATTAAGGAATTTTCTCTTAAATTTACCTTTACCCTCAATAAGTTTCATTTCTTCTAAAGGAAAGTTATTTCTTTTGATTTCATTCAGGTTTTTTGTTTTATTTCCTTTTCTAAGGAGAATTTATTTCTTCTTTCTTTTTCTTTAGTCTCTATGTTGCCTACTCTGGCCTCAAACTCCTAGGCTTAAGTGATGCGTTCACCCCAGCCTCCCAAGTGGCTGGGACTATAGACATGTGCCCTTGACCCTGGCCAGGAGAAGTTATTTCTGATGCTGTCTTATAACTTTTACAATTCCATGTGAAGAGAAAATCTTGTGTAGCATTTAATCTGATTGGACTTTTTAAAATCTGTGAACAAGAACTTCAGTTGCTGAATAAATTTAGACATGTTTAATATCTTCTTGCATTTTTACACTAATTTTGCAATATGTTTTTTCAGGTTTTCAATTCAAAAACAGCTGAACTTCTTAGTCATCATCAAGTAGAAATAAAACAGGAGTTCCCAAGAGAAGGGTATGTTTCCTAATTTGATTTGTGAAGACAAATTGTGTTTATTGGTTCATTTTACCCTTCCCTGTAGATTTGTAAAGTAACCTTCCCTGGGCACCCACCTGAGAAGACTTGAGGGATTGGTATTAGTCAAGAAAAAAAGTAATAACTTTAGGTCAGTAAAAAACATGTGGGTAATTCGTGGTTTATAAAATCAGTGACACAAAAGGAATGAATAATAAAAAAATAAGACAAAAGAGAGAGAGAGAGTGTGTGTGTGTGTGTGTGTGTGTTGGGGAGCAGTGGTGATGAGGGTAGGGAGAGAAACTGAACAAGATATAACCTTCCAGAACATGCTCCCAGTGACCTACTTCCTCTAATTAGGCCCTACCTCCTAAAGTTTCCACCACTTCCCAGTAGTGCCACCAGCTGGGGACCAAGTCTTCAACATATGAACCTTTGGGGACATTCTAGATCCAAACTATAGTAATTATTAAATATCTGAAATTCTATATTTAGTTTTGTGTTCCCATCATTGCCATATGGAGTTTTTACTAATATGAGTGTAAGCTTTTTAAAAAGCATGTATATCCTATCACTAATATGAAATAATCCTTTTTTATTTTTTAAATATATTTTTATTCTAATTTGTTATGACAACAGAATGTATTACAATTCATATTATACATATAGAGCACAATTTTTATACTTATTTTTTTTAGTTGTAGTTGTACACAATAACTTTATTTCATTTATTCATTTTTATGTGGTGGTGCTTAGGATCAAACCCAGGGTCTCACACATGCGAGGCAAGCACTCTACTGCTGAGCCCCAAACCCAGGCCTAGAGCACAATTTTTCATATTTCTGGTTGTATACAAAGTATACTCACACCATTCGTGTCTTCATACATGTACTTAGGGTAATGATGTCCATCTCTGAAATAATCCTTTTTTAGAATAACATGTGAGAATTGTAATTAAATATAATGTTGTACATTATTTAAAATTTAATGATACTCATGATACAACCCCTTTAAAAACCATATGGTAGTTTCTTGTAATGTTAATCGTATATCTGTAGCATTTCAATCTTATGAAAACATATAACTATAGAAAGACTCACACACAAATGTTTATAGCCATTTTATTCATAATAGTCCCAAACTGGAAACTGCCCAGATGTCTGTCCTCAGTACAATGGATAACAGTGGAATGCTATTCAGCATTTTTAAAAAGTGAGCTGATACTTTCAACATGGATGAATCTCATTGAAGTAATGGATGTTGAAAGAAGTACAATAAGTATATACTGCATGGCTCACTTTATCTGAAATTCAAAAGTAGTCTAAATTAATATAGGATGATAGAAAAGTGATTGCCTATGGAGTATATGATTGAATTGAAAGGAGCATGAAAGAACTTTCTGGGATATGGATTGGGGGAATAGCTCAGTGGTAGAATGCTTGCCTAGCATGTGAGGGACCCCAGGTTCCATCCCCAATACCCAGGTGTGGGGGAGAATTTTCTGGGGTATGATAATTTTTTTTTATCTTGTCTGGGGTATTGATATTTTATATATATAAATAATTTGTCCAAACTTGGCCAATTGTCAACTTTAGATACATGTGTTTGCGTCTAAACTTTACCTCAATTTGAGAAAAAAGAAAAATACAATGTCTTAACAAATTGTATTATTTTTTTCCCAAGAAAAAATGTTTTGTTTTTTTTTGGTACTGGGGATTGAACCCGGGGGCTCTCAACCACTGAGCCATATCCCCAGCCCTTTTTATTTTATTTTTAAATTTTTATTTATTTATTTTTGATGGTGCTGAGGATGGAACCCAGGGCCTTGGGCATGCTGGGCAAGCACTCTACCAACTGTGCTATATCCCCAGCCCCTTTATATTTTATTTTGAGACAGTGTCTCATTAAGATGTTTAGGGCTTAGCTAAATTGCTGAAGTCACTTCGCAGCAAAAGACAGCATCCCTGGATGGGCTCAAACCACCAACCTTTCAGTTAATAGCCGAACTTGCTAATGGATTGCATCACAGAGACTGTGGTTCTCCTATTTTTAAAAGCATTCCTTTGTTAAATATTTAGGACCATTAGAATGACTGTCTATAGGCCTGATCCTAGTACAATTTGGAAAGAGGATAACTGGTTCTTGGAGGGATGAGAATTAAAATACTGGGTTTTTGAAAAAAAGAAATGTTCCACACAAAGCTTAAAGCTCAGGAAAGGGAAACATTTAATCTGGCTCCAGGAAGGCAGAGAGAAAAGGTGTTTGGAATTCCATTGCTATTTCCAGAACCTTGAAGTAGAATTCTTTTAGTTTGTATCATTTCTACTTTGGGCTTCCTTAAATTGCTTGTTAAATTGTTTGTTACTCCCAGCCTTCTCTTCCTTCTCATTTTTTATTAGTCTTCTACCCTTCTGAGGTGCGGGACCTTACCAACATTTTACTGGGATTGAGTATGAATATATGGATCAATAATTCATCTACATGAAATAGTTATTAGAAGTTTAAAAATTTCCCCCAAATTTCAACAAAACATTTTGGGGAAAAAGTGTGGCAAATAATATTACTATATGCCAGGCATGGTGGCGCACACCTGTAATCGGAGGATCATGAGTTCAAAGCCAGCCTCAGCAATTTAGCAAGGCACTAAGCAACTCAGTGAGACCCTGTCTCTAATAAAATATAAAATAAGGCTGGGGATGTGGCTCAGTGGTCGAGTGCCCCTGAGTTCAATCTCTGGTACCAAAAAAAAAAAAAAAATCTATTACTAATGAGTTCCTTTTGATTCCAAAATATATAATTTATAAGAATAATGTATTTTAATCTACTTAGAAGTAACTAATGAAACATGAAGATAGTTTATCAAAATTCATCAAACCCACAGAACATAAAGAATTGGGGAACTAATACATCTTATTTTTGGACTTGAAAAAATGGTCTCCTTTAAAATGAGTGATTGCTGTGCAAAGAATAATAAAAATGTAAGGGAAAGCTTTTCTTTAAATCATTTCTTTAGACTATGGGATATAGTTATATTTTGTTTATATACCAGCCACATTCATAAGTTAACATTTTTGTAGAAATTAGTTACAATTATATTGCTTTCTTATGGATTAACCAAACACATCCTTTTTTTTTTTCAAAGATGGGTAGAACAAGATCCTAAGGAAATTCTGCAGTCTGTCTATGAATGCATAGAGAAAACATGTGAGAAACTTGGACAGCTCAATATTGATATTTCCAACATAAAAGGTATTTTAATGGAATATTATATTTTTGTGGTATGACTCTTAGTTGGATTCATTAATTCATTTTTCAGCTCACAACGAGTACTTACGCAGGGCCAGCAATTTCTTTGGAAACTTGAGGTTACAACTGTTATGAATAGAAAGATTTAAGTTCCTGTTCTGGAGCTTTTATTTTGGTGTGTGTGTGTGTGGGGGGGTAAGACAACTAAAGCAGACAAACAGAAGATAATTTCAGATACCAGTAAACTCCATGCAGAAAATAAAAACTTAAGTGATGTGGTGGGGTATACCTAGAGGGGCTTACTTGAGGTTGGGTATAAAGGAGGCTACACTTTCTGACATTTCCAAGGCTCTAAGGGGTCAGCCAGTCATGTGACTATTTGGGAGGAAAGAGTGTTTAAGGCAAAGAAAGTGACATATGCAAAGACCCTGAGGTGAGAGTGAGCTTAGGACATTCCAGGGTCAGAAAGAAGGCCAGCATGTCAAAAGGACAGTAACAGAAGGTTCAGGTGTGAGAGTGGCTGAGTAGGTGTTTCAGTAGGAATTAAACTCAGGAAAGTGGGTAGGGCCTTGTCAGCTGTAGTTAGTAGTTTGTTATCCTTAGCATCATAAGGAGCCATTAGGAGATTCTAAGCAAGGTGGCTAGGGATGGCTTGCACTTGAAAGACAATTCCCCAAATGCTCTGTGGAAAGTAGACCATATATGGGTTTAAGTGCAGATACAGGGAGACCAGTATAGAGGCTGAAAGAGGATGGTGGCTTGACCAACAGTGGCAACACAGAGGTGGGGAAGAAGAGCCAGAACTTGCTGATAGATTGGATATTAGCTATTCGAGAAATGCGTCAAAGGTGATGCTTGTTTATTTTTTCAATTTTGTAGTCCTAAGTATTAAATTCAGGACCACATGCATGCTAGATAAGCGGTGTACCACTGAGTCACACCCCCGCTTTAATGCTTGGGTTGTTTTTTTCCTGGATGTCCTGAATAGATGGGACCTGGATAGATAGACCTCTTATTAAAGGGAGAAAAACTAAAGGAGCAGGTTGGGGGAGGGGTGTTTGAAATCTAAATGCTTTGCTTATAAAATTTCCTTGCAATAATTACTTGAGGGCTGGGGCTGTAGCTCAGAGGCAGAGCGCTCACCTGGCATGCCAGGTGTGAGTCATTGGGTTCGATCCTCAGCACCACATAAAATAAAATAAATTATTGTGTCCACCTATAATTAAAAAACAAATATTTAAAAATAATTACTTGAAAATGTGAGATTATCCAGGCACAGTGGCACACTCCTGTAATCCCAGCAGCTCAGGAGGTTGTGACAGAAATAACGTGAATTCAAAGTCAACCTTAGCAACGGTGAGGCACTAAGCAACTCAGTGAGACCCTGTCTCTACATAAAATGTAAGACAGGGCTGGGAATGTGCTCAGTGGTCGGATACCCCCCGAGTTCAATCTCCAGTACCCCTCCCCCCCAAAAGTTTATTATAACAGTTCTGTCTGAATTCCTAGTATTTTAGTATAATATCTACATTTGATTTTCACACACAGAGAGAGAAAATAATCCAGTCATCCAAGATTGATATAACAGCATAAAGGGTAGAAGCATGATGTGGTAATTGCTTTTTTATAGCTATGTTTTTCAAGTTCACCATTCAAGGATAGTTCTGATCTTCTTAGTTTGGCCATAGTAGTGGTACCTTGATTCTCATCATCTTGGCTCTAAGAATTGCCTTCACTCCTGAGACTTTCCCATATTTGTATAAATAGAAACTCATTTAAAAATAAAGACTATGCATAATCACATCATTTAGCAAGTCTGTAGAAAGCCTATCGTATACAGTGTACACCTAGGTATACAGTGGGGACACAAATAGAGTCATGTAGCTAACAGTCAAATGGGGGAAACATGTTAATCATATAATCACAATGAATGAACAATCAGAACAATAGTAGCTTCTGTTATTACAGAGTTTTAATAGAAACACGTAGGTACAATTTGAATTTTTTTTTTTAAAGAGAGAGTGAGAGAGGAGAGAGAGATTTTTAATATTTATTTCTTAGTTTTTGGCGGACACAACATCTTTGTTGGTATGTGGTGCTGAGAATCGAACCCGGGCCGCACGCATGCCAGGCGAGCGCGCTACC